TCCAACGGACAATCAACTTGTCCTAATCAGGCTGTGCTGAAGCTGAAATGGGCTGTTTCTTCTTGCTGCTTGCTGTAAGGAGGTAAATTGCTGGGAGGCAGAGGCCAAAAGGTGGGGGCCAGTGAGTGGCCGGGGCTACATTCGGTGTATAAGACGCACCTAAATTTTCACCCCCTTTTAGGGGGGGGAAAGGTGTGTTTTATACTCCAAAAAATACGGTACATTGCCATAAAATCTCTGTGAACACTCAAATGAAATTACAAAATATAGCTTGTCGTGTATCTGCACTAGAAGATTCTCTTCTTGTTTATTAGAAATTTGGACCTCAAATTGATGAGCTACATCTGGCCAGCAAATCCTCCCCACTTACTAACATAATCAGGAACCTTTCTGGATCTGTCAGTACAGTATTCAGACACAGGTTATAATGAAGATTTCACAGTTCAAGGCTTTAATCTAAATCTTGCTATTCGGTAATCTGCTGAAACACTGAAATTCTGATGAATTGAGAATATGGAAGCCATGGACATTCTGTTAAGGACATTCTTAAAGTGAATGTTGAAATATCAGTTTGATGGGACGTCTGTATCCATTAAGGCAAAGACATTGATAGGCGATGAAGTGGTGTTGAAGTGGATGAAATATCCAGAGAATCTTATTCATCTTAATGTTTCATTATCAGGTATATCCAATCACATTTTGAAACAGCTAATGTAAGCTTGCTTCAATTGTAGCCAACTCTCAAACCTTCATTGTATTATTGGTAATTGGCAACATTTTCAAAAGTGGTTTTCCATTGTCTTCTTCCTAGGGCTGAGAGAAAAGAACTGGCCCCATCACTCAGCTGGCTTTCATGTACTACGAGGTTTTGTAGTACATGAGGTTTTGTAGTTCATGTAGTACAGGTTTCTGTACTACGAGTCCCGTATCTAATCACTAGATCCAACAGGCTTTCTTGGACCAGAGTAGACTTCTATTAAATGTCCCCATAATCACATGTGAAGGATGTGGTGGCTCAGTGGCTAAGACATTGTGCTTGTCTATCAAAAAGTCAGCAGTTCAGCAGTTCGAATCCCTAGAGCCGCATAACGGGGTGAGCTCCCGTTCCTTGTCCCAGCTTCTGCCAACATAGCAGTTCGAAAGCATGTAAAAAAGGCAAGTAGAAAAATAGGGACCACCTTTGGTGGGAAGGTAACAGCGTTCCATGCACCTTTGGCATTTAGTCATGCCGGCCACATGACCACAGAGACGTCTTCGGACAGCGCTGGCTCTTCGGCTTTGAAACGGAGATGAGCACTGCCCCCTAGAGTCAGAAACGACTAGCACATACGTGCGAGGGGAACCTTTACCTTTAATAACATGAGGAAGTGAAAAAATATGCATATGGTTGATCTTCTAATTGTTGCCATTCCTAGAGCCTTGCTAAGTTTCATCTTCTCCAAATATCTCCACTTAAGCTTTGTGAAACTTCAAGATATCTATTGTTCAAAAAAACAGATGTTGCAAACAGATGCTCTTGCTCCAAATCATTGTTTACCTGGAGTTTTGGAAACAATCCCAACATAGCAACCAAGAGATAGATCAAACTCTAATTCTGCTGCCATAGTGGCAGAAGAGCCCTGGTGGCGCTGTGATTAGAAGGCGGTATTGCAGGCAAACTCTGCCCATAGTTTGTAGTTCAATCCTGACAGGGTACAAGGTTCATTCAGTCTTCCATCCTTCCAAGGTCAATAAAATGAGGCGCCAGGTTGTTTTGGGAGCAATATGTTGATATTGAAAACCACTCAGAGAGTGCTGTAAAGCACTATAGGGAAGTATATAAATCCAAGTGTTATTGCTATGGTGGTAGCAGAGTGGTAGCCCGGATTTCTGCGACCCAAATCTGGTAGCCTGAGTCTACTAATCCATTGTTATAAAAACAAACAAGTAACAGATTGTCCTGCCAAGCGGATCATCCTCTTTGTCAACACAGCTGGCTACAAAATTCTCACCACTGTCGGCAGTTCCAACTGAGAAATTAAATTCTACCAAAATGCTTTCCTTTTTTTTTTTTTTTCATCTTTTAAAATAATTTTGCTGACAAATTCTGAACAGGAGAACTTCAATGCCGTGTTCTTCTACTTTATTTATTGCAAACTTAACTTTCCAGTGTGTTCCGTGAAAACATACCAACTTGGCATTGGTTATTTGGGAAATGCTACCACTGGCGAAGTCGCTATTTTTCTTCTTTGCCATTCATCTCTTTCATTCTGGTGTCAGATCTTTCAGGCTTCACTATATGTATATAAATTACGCATAGAATGCCACTTTAGACCCTCTTCTTGTTGCTTTAGTCTCCCCATTTTAACTTTCAGCCTCTTTCTGGTTTCCAATTTCCCATGTCCCTTCGTACCTCAACCCCTTTTCTTCCTCGGGCCGCCAAACAAAAACGCTCTTTGAACTTCTTTTCCCATAGAAACCTAAATCTTCCCTCTTCTTACTTTGGGGGGTCTTGGAGGGTGCTGAAAGGTTTCCTCATCAGGACCAATTCTGTGACATCAAATCCCATGGATACCAGATGAGAGGCTTAATACATTAAGTGAAGGGGAAAAAATAACCAAACAATGCAATTCCCAGACCTTCTACATTTGCATCTTAATTGGCTTGGGCTGCTGAATTATACATACGCTTACATGTGGGGTGGGGTGCGTGCTTTTTTGTGTGTTTGTGTGTTTGTGTGCAGGTATGTAAAAGATTCACTTCAGAGTAGATTTAGAACATAGAATAACAGAGTTGAAGGGACCTTGTAGGTCATCTAGTCCAACCCCATGCCCAAGCAGGAGACCCTACACCATTTCTGACAGATGGCAGTCCAATCTCTTCTTGAAAGCTTCCAGGGATGACGCTCCCACAACTTTTGAAGGCGAGCTGCTCCACTGGTTGATGGTCATCACTGTCAGAAAACTTCACCTTATTTCTAGGTTGAATCTCTCCTTCATCAGTTTCCACCCATTATTCCATTTATGTGATAGGATGCTATCAATTTCATGTCTATGGAGATTCTCAGTTATCCAGTCATGGTGGTCTCAAAGTTTCTTTTTCAAAAGGCAACTGGATTTTCTTTGTTTTTCTTTGAAGATGTTTCGCTTCTCATCCAATTGAAGAAGCTTTTTGGATGAGAAGCGAAACGTCTTCAAGGAAAAACAAAGAAAGTCCAGTGGCCTTTTAAAAAAGCACCTTTGGGACAGCTATCAACTTCAATTATTTCTAAAATAGCAGGCTATTCATACACACATGCAAACCAATCTGATCCCCAGATTTATTCGTTATATCCCATTTTCAAATTAAAGCAGTAACCTGGCTCACATCCTATTTGACTGTTGCTTGTATAAGGGGGTGAGAGACAAGTACCTTGGTCCATACACCAAACAAATGACCCATTGGGATCCCCATATCAAAACAACTTACTTTATGTGCGGCCAGAATCTGAAAATAACATTTAACACAGCACAACACTTAAACAAAATGGTTCGGTTGAGATCTGCATACATGGGATTGATTGGGGTAGATTGTAAGGGCGACACCGAAATATAATTTTATGTCATTTTATTCTATTTTATATATTTATGCATTAAATTATATTGTATCTTATCCTATAACTATTGTGTTTTACCCTACTCTTATTTTAAATTGTTTGTATAAGATTTTATTGGCGATATGTGTTTGCACCTCGTGCTTTGATATGGCCTATAGGCTAATCAAAGCTATCATTTTAAACTGTATTTTATTCCAATTTCATTTTAAATCGTATTTTATTCCAATTTCATTTTAAATTGTATTTTATCCAATTCCATTTTAAATTGTTTTTATCAGATTTTAGTAATAATTTCTGTCTGGAACTCTGCAGGGCCCAAGGGCTAATAATATATATATATATTAAAGCAGTAGCAGCTTTCAATTGTTTGCTGCTCCTTCCTCAACTCTTATTTTTATGAATTCTTCATCTCTTTCATAATGGCAGCTTCCTCCCTCTTTTTTACCTTCATTACAGAGCTTTGATCACAAAATTGCCGCTGACTTTTTCGATCACCCTATCTCTGCGTCCCTTCAACTTATTTATGGTAATTTGTAGAGAAGCAGTCTTGAAAAGGTTTTATGAAATGATGGAGCACATTTTTTTCTAGTACTCCAGAGAATAGGAACAATGAGCTAAAATGACAATAGACAAGAGTCTGAGTCAATAGTATGAAGAATTGGTAGAAAGGTTAGTAATGGGAAAGTCTAGTAGAATAGATTTCTGATATCACTAAAAATTGTAAATTATTTCAAACATTCCTTGTAATCTTCTAACCCAAGGAACAAATATTACTTATACATGCCCAGAACAAATTTCCATTCAGAATAAAGATCAATGGAAAGAGAAGACGTCTGGTGGAAAATATTTGTGCCTGAAATAATCTTTTTTATACATTAAAGTCCATTTATTTCACAGTGAATTATTTAGTTATTTTGGTTCCTGGACTTCAAGTATTTCCAGTATGTAATTTGGATATATGTGGACTAGGCCATGCCAAAAAAAAACAAAAAACAAAGCAAGATCTGTATGTCAAAAATAATTCTGGTAGTCCCTCATTCAGTCAGCAGGTTACCAAATCTATCAACAACAGAGATAACTGATGGTTCCCACAGATCATCAGTTCTTCTGTCATTTGAGAGTTCATAAAGAGAAGACAACTGATAGGCTCCAGATGGGCAAAACTTAGACTATCAGGACTGAAGACAGATGAAAGTGAACAGAGTCATCCTAGTTGAAGTTGAGCACAATACCTACCAAGGCACAATTTTCACATTTGAGATGGAAATTCTATTTCATGGAAGAGAGAGCTTCACATAGAAGCTCTTCTTAATAGGACTACTCTAATAATACATTTGGACATTTCCAAAAACATCAGACAATCGTAAGCTGTCTTTGGTGGCCTTTGGACAAGCTCCAGCTTTATATGTCTTAGTCACCCACTTACCTCTTTCTCCTGGTGTTCCAGGTTGGCCAGGATTGCCAGGGAAACCTGGGCTTCCTGAAGATCCTTGCTCTCCCTGTGGTCCAGGTAAGCCTTGCCGTCCTGGTTCACCAGGGGGACCTGGGATAGTCCGTGTTGAGATTGAGTTGCTCGGAATCTGATTTAAGATGGAGTTGTATCTATCCAGGTGAGCTGCCATGCAGATAAATACAGAGAACATAAGCTTCATGTATAGGCTGTACACCGCCCTGAGTCCTTCGGGAGAAGGGCGGTATAGAAATAAAATTATTATTATTATTATTATTATTATTATTATTATTATTATTATTATTATATTATATTATATTATTATTATTATTCATCTAAGAACTCTATCCTGATTGAGTTTTATGTTAATAAGGATAAGTGGGCATCGATTTGAGTTATGAGTTGGGTCTGGCCCAATAAATTACACAGAAATGTATTTTTTTTTTTAAAAAATGCACAAATACATCTAGCAGTTAAAACCAGTGATGAAATCCAAATATTTTTACTACCGGTTCTGTGGGCGTGGCTTGGTGGGTGTGGTGTTGCTTGGTGGGCGTGGCAGGGGAAGGATACTGCAAAATCTCCATTCCCACCCCACTCCAGGGGAAGGATACTGCAAAATCCCCATTCCCTCCCCACTCCTGGGGGAAGGATATTGCAAAATCTCCATTCCCACCCCACTCTGGGGCCAGCCAGAGGTGGTATTTGCCGGTTCTCCGAACTGCTCAAAATTTCCCCTACCGGTTCTCCTGAACCTGTCAGAACCTGCTGGATTTCACCCCTGGTTAAAATCTACAAATCATTAGAACAATGATAGTACAACATTTCTTGTACTCACACTGGATAAGCTGTTCACACACCTGACGAGCTACTGCCCGTACCATTGCTTGGGACTGAAGATCTCCCTATACGTTGAGGATATAGTGATACATCAGTTCCCATAACTTGCATAAAATACAGATGTTCCTCACATACAATCCATCTTCACTAACTTGACCTCTTCCAAATGTGTTGAGTATGCAATTCTTTGAACTTTCAATTCCCATGTGGCTTCCTGGGAATCCCAACTCATCTGGAGGGGACTAAACTGGGAAAAGGTTGGGATGTCTTGGCAGCACAGCCTATGGTGTCTACTCACAAGGCCCACAAGGATTTACTCCTACATAAACACGCACAGGACTGCCACCTCCAGATCCTGGAAAAAGAACAACCCACCTCCCAAAGTAGTACTTTATTCTAAAAATAAAGAAGCTGTCCTCAAGATATGTGATTAAGGCACTTACACGTTCACCTTTCTCGCCTTTTACTCCAGGAAGTCCCTGGGTTTGAGGGAAGCACAAAATGTAATGTAAATAAGCACAACATGTAATGTAAATAAGTTCCACACTCCTTTGTAATTCACTGGCTTTTATAAATGTGGCGACATGTAAGCCGTGTGTTTTCAATCCCACAGCAGCCATAGTTATTTAAGAAAGATGGGATTGTACTTCCCAACACACTTCGAAGATGACTGCAAAATTTAGCAAAATTACTTATGGTATGGTATCTTTGTGATGAGGTGCGATATGCTCGTGAAGAGCTTTTGGCCATCTAGATATTGGCTGATATTTGGGTTAGAAGGAAAATATCTGTGTATATTATAAGTATAAGAGCCGTGGTGGCACAGTGGTTAGAATGCAGTATTGCAGGCTAATACTGCCAACTGCAGTTCGATTCTCACCGGCTCAGGTTTGGTTCAGCCTTCCATATTTCTGAGGTCAGTAAAATGAGGACCCAGATTATTGGGGGCAATAGGCTGACTCTGTAAGCCTCTTAGAAAGGGCTGTAAAGCACTGTGAAGTGATATATGAGTCTAAGTGCTATTGCTGTAATAGCAAAAGAATTGTCATATTCCAGGCAGACGTTCATAGCAGATCCCACACTTAGCAGTAAGATCTTTCAAACTCTGCTCTATTGGGGAACATGTGAAAAAAGACTTCTTGGAAGACAGCCATTGTTTTCATTCTAAGTCAAAGAAAAAAAAATCGAAATAGAGCTGTTTTAAATGTCTACAGAGGCAAAGTAAATGTTACTTTGGTACTGCAGTTACAAAACATGTCAGTGTTTCCAAAATCATTTCATTTTAGGCACATGGACATAGACCAATGTGGAAGTTTTCTCAGCTATCCTGGTGAAAATCTTCCACCCCAACCGACATTACAGTTAGCATTGGGGAGGTGGGAAAAAGATGTACAGGGATGGCAACAGGACCTTTCATTCAAAAGCTACTGTATTTTTCTGAGTATAAGACGCACCTTAGAGAGATGAGAGAGAGAATATGATAAAGAGAGAGAGAGAGAGAGTATGATGGATTCTTACTTACAGGTGGTCCAGCATCTCCTTGTGGGCCAATATTACCCATTATTCCTGGGACACCTGGAGCACCAGGTATTCCCTGCATAGAGAACACAATAAAGTAATTGAAGTTCAGAATCCTGTTTATATATAATTGTGCTTCGAAACTTTGCTGACATTCTCCAACACCTTGGCCCAAGAATCAGAAAGACAGCAGATGAGTCATGGTGAGGTTAATTATGTACTTCCTCCACTGGTAAATCAAATGCAAATCATTCCTGCAGAAGCACAGATAAAGTCTCATCTACCAACCAAGTTATTGCTCAGCAAACTTTTCAACAAAAGCAGTAATAAATTAGTTAGTCCACAGACTTATTTAACAGGTTAACAGTTGGAAGGGATCTTGTAGATCATCTGGTCCAACACCCCTGCCCAAGCAGGAGACCCTACACCATTTCTGACAGATGGCAGTCCAATCTCTTCTTGAAAGCCTCCAGTGATGAAGCTCCCACAACTTCCGAAGGCCAGTTGTTCCATTGGTTGATTGTTCTCACTGTCAGAAAATTTCTCCTTATTTCTAGGTTGAATCTCTCCTTGATCAGTTTCCATCCATTATATCTTGTCTGGCCTTCAGGTGCTTTGGAAAATAGCTTGACCCCTTCCTTCCTCTCTGTGGCAGCCCCTCAAATATTGGAACACTGCTATCATGTCTCCCCTGGTCCTTCTCTTCACTAGACTAGCCATGCCCAGTTCCTGCAACCATTCTTCATATTTTTGAGTCTCCGGACCTCTAATCATCCTGGTTGCTCTTCTCTGCACTCTTTCTAGAGTCTCAACATCTTTTAAATAGTGTGGTGACCAACTGGATGCAGTATTTGTCCTAGTATGGAGGACTTTCCATCTATCATTCATAATGAAACCTCTTCTTTTGCATATCCATGACTAGAGGACAACTTCTGCATTGTCCATTCAATGAGATTCCATTCAGGAATTTCCCAGATTTTCTTTCATTTTTCACAACCACATCCCTTTGTTCTCGCCCCTCCTGATTACACAGCCTCTGGCTGTGTTTACATTTCACAGTAATTCATAGTTTGCCTAAAGGCACTTAGACAATTAGCCTCGTCATCTCCCAAGTAAAATATGTAGAAGCATAAGCTGGAAGACTTATGGAGGACCTTGGAGTTCTTCTAGTCCAACCACTTGCCCAAGGCAGGTACCCTACACCAACCCAGAGAAATAGTTGTGTATTTTTGAAGACCTGTAGTGATAGAGCACCCACAATTCCAGGAAGCAAGCTGTTCCGTTGATTATCTGTTGTTACTGTCAGGAAATTTCATTTTATTTCCACTCTCTTTAAGATGTTTCTACCCATTATTTCTCAGTCTGCTCTCAGGGGCTTTGGAGAATAATACTTAAGACCAGTGGTGGGATTCAAATAATTTAACAACCAGTTCTCTGCCTTAATGATTTCTTCCAACAATCAGTTCACCAACTGCTCAGAAAGTTAACAACCGGTTCTCCCGAAGTGGTGCGAACTGGCTGAATCCCACCACTGCTTAAGACTGATCAGGACTGTTTTAACTGTTTGCAAATATATTCTCTGATTTTCCTTTCTTGCAGTTCGAACTATGATTACAGTAATCCAGGCAAAATAAAATGGGTGAAATTGGCTATATTAACTAGATAAAGCAAGGGTTTTTTTGTTTTTTGTTTTTAAGATTTGCTATTCCAGTCCCAAAGATGCTTTTTCAGGAGGCAACTGGACTTTCTTGTTTTTTCTTTTGAAGACGTTTCGCTTCTCATCCAAGAAGCTTCTTCAGCTCTGACAGAATAGTGGGGAATGCAAGGATGTATATTCCTTGCAGACAGCTGGTCATCTGCATCCTTTTAGAGGGTCCTTGAAGCACTTGGAGATTTATCTGTGTCCTCAGGGTCACCTGAGTAGTGCAAATGGTTCTTGTAGCCTGCAATTTTTCCTCTGAAAATCCATTCATACCCCCACACCATTACCATTCAACGATCCTCTAAAAGGTTGCAGATGACCAGTTGTCTGCAAGGAATATAAATCCTTCCATTCCCCACTGTCCTGTCAGAGCTGAAGAAGCTTCTTGGATGAGAAGCGAAACATCTTCAAAAGAAAAAACAAGAAAGTTTTCAGTTGCCTCCTGAAAAAGCACCTTTGGGACAACCATGACCTGGATGACTGAGAATCTCTACAGACTATTTGCTATTCCAGGTTTTTGGCCTTGAGGTTTCTTTCCCAAGTTGGATCGATGGTCTTGACATGGAAGTTCCATGGAAAAAAACAGAAATGAAACCCATTAGGTGGATCATTGTATGCCAAAGCTGGGACTAACCCTTGGAATAACTCCCTAATCTTTGGAACTGACTCAGGGTTTTAGCTGTTGCATGTTATGACTGAAATTAGTTCAGAGATTTGTGACTTTTTAAAGACATAAAGATTCCAATGCATCCATCATTTCTATTTTCTAAAACAGACCTCAAGTCTCATTTGAGATCCAGAATCAGTTTTGGAAACAAAAATGATGCCAAAGGCAGACACTTTATTTCACAGATAAAATTCTATATTTTTTTAATTAGGTATTTTTAAAAGTATAATTTAAGAGGCACATTATTTGTGGGTACATGAGTATTCTCAGCCATTGTGTTGGGAAATCCAGAGTTAATGAATTAACTTTGTTATTTAGCAAGGAAAGCAAGTTAACAAATATTCCTTATTCCCCTTTTGTGATTCAAAGTTTTTAACCATTTTTTAAAAGAATGGAATAACATGATGGTGTTTACCACTGGTCCTGAGGAACCTTGAGGTCCAGTTGGTCCGTCTTTGCCTATCAGGCCCTAAAAGACATGAAAATACTTGGATTACTATTTTGCTCATTATAACAGTTTAAAAGAATTAGCCAGATCATATATATAAAGGTTGTATTAATTCTCATATAAATATAGTACAGGGGTGTTGTCAGGGTTCCGATGGATGCCCTAATTAAATCCTGAGTCTCAAGCCAAGCTTCAAAAGAAATCTAGTTATTTATTAAGAGCTTCATGTCAGCACGTTCCCAAGTGAAGCCAGCTCTGACTCTACGTAATTTACTCTCAAATTATGACCCTGTTTCCCCTCTCCCCCCAGGTTGTGTCATCAATCACATTCCCAACAGAGCAATTTCGTGGGTTATAGAGGTCACTCCCCTTCAGCTGCTGTAGGTAACCCTGGGATACAGCCATGAGAGTGATAAGCGTGGAATGTGCATCTATCTACATAATTTATGTTCCAATTATGACCCTGTTTCCCCCTCCCCCCAGGGTGTGTCATCAATCACATTCCCAAAGGAGCAATTTCATGGGTTGTGTAGAGGTCACTCCCCTCCGGCTGCTGTGGGTAACCCTGGGATACAGCCATGAGAGTGATAAGCCTGAAATATGTATCTGTCTTTGGCTGCTGTGTCATTTCATTAGTTTCCCATCCCCCCCGGCCTATGGTAACTCGAGAGCAGGCCAGGGATGCTTTGCCAGTTGACAGGTGTCAAACTCGATTTCATTGAGGGACACATCAGGGTTGTGTTTTACCTCGAGGGACAAAGGTGGGCATGGCCAGGGTGGGCATGGCCAGCTCAATGTCACTCGTGTCGGGAGCACCTGTGGTGGCCTGAATGTTCTGCCAGCAAAAACGGGCTCCCAAATTCTGTTTTCAGCTGATACGACCTCCTGCAACCCTCTGCCAGCAAAAATGGAGTTCGGGAGGGCAGCCCTCCCGAGGTCCATTTTCGCTGGCAGAGGCACCATGGGCCAGTCCTTTGCTGATTCAAGGGGGTCCCCGTGGGCCAGATCTAAGCACCCCGCAGGCTACATTTGGCCCGTGGGCCTTGACACTCCTGATATCGTACTATATAAAGCTAAATAACTAAACTTATTGTCATCTGTTTCCTTTTGCTTAAAATCAATAAAAATAAGTAATAGTGGAGAATTCCAATAAATGGTTTGGACTAATAAAATGGATGATTGTTGTAGAATTTTTGGAAACCTTTTAAACTTAGTTCCTATGGCTAAAGTGTATTACTCACATTTACATGGCTGTTTGTAGAAGAAGGAGTGCCAAAAACCGGGGCGGAGCCAAAAGAGGAATCAGCCTAGAATCCCTAAACAAACGAAGTCCAACTTCCCATGAATTCATTGACTCTTAGTTAACACCATTCGTTGGCTCTTATTTAGTTGAGTAGATTCTTGTGCCTATTCATGATTTATTAGTAATAAATTACTAATTATTAATGATTAGTAATACATCAGTTTAATTGGAACCTGTGCGGTCTTGATCTTTTGCACCTGACACTTTCTATGCAAGATTTCTATAGTATTTACAAGAAAATTTATATTTATGCTTTAAACCAAATGTTCTACTTTTGGAGCTACTCATAGATGTTCTTGATTGAATAAAGTTAGTGTGGAATTGCTGGAACTGAGTCATTCATGGTTTGTTTCTGCTATGCCCATATGCTACACACACACACTTCATTTCCACCTTTGCATAGACTATGTAGTCCTGCTTCTCAGGGTTTGCTGTGTGAGCATGTGTGCGGGGAAAAAAAAGAGATTAATTGGAAAGCGGTTTAGGGAATGAATCCATATTGCCACATTCTGATAAATAACAGATGTGGAATTCTCTCTGTTTATTCTTCCAAGTTCAAAACTTAATCCCAGAAAAGTTACAGTAGGGCAGTTTGTAATAGTATTAGTGACATGACAGTGAAGACAACGGTGAAGACAACTTTTAGCAACACCTTTGCTAAAAGTGTCCCAGTGAAGGCCAGATACTAATTTGGATTCCTACTCTGAACAAGAGGCTCCATGCCTATGTGGTCCTGTTCATCTCTAATTTCCACAGCATGCAAGATATAGAATAGAGTAGAACAGAACAGAACAGGGTAGAATAGAATAGAATAGAATAGAATAGAATAGAATAGAATAGAATAGGCTCAAAGTTGACTCAGCTTTCCATCCTTTCTAAGGTAGGTAAATTGAGGACCCAGTTTGTGGGGGCAATAAGCTGACTTTGTATAAATATACAAAAGTATGAAGGCTATTGCTTAATGCATTGTAAACTGCCCTGAGTCTCCAGAGGAGGGCGGCATATAAATCAAATTTAAAAAAACTAAAACATAAAATAGAACAGAAGAGAAGAGAAGAGAATAGGAGGGGGTGCGGGGGGTGCAGAACCGGTTCGGTGACATCATATCATCACCGCTACCGGCTCGGGAGAACCGGGCCGAACCGGGAGGAACACACCACTGAACAGAACAGAACAGAACAGAACAGAACAGAATATCAAGAGTTGGATCAATCATTTAATCATGGCTGTCCCAAAGGTATTTTTCCAAAAAGCAATTGGACTTTCTTTTCTCCTTGAAAATATTTCGCTTCTCATCCAAGAAGCTTCTTCAGTTCTGCAGCTTTGAAAGCTTCTTGGATGAGAAGCTAAAGTTTTCAAGGAAGAAAAAATACCAAACAAGAAAGTCCAGTTGCCTTTTGAAAAAGCACCTTGGGACAAATTTAAAATATATAGCGGTGTGTTGCCTGTAATGGCGGGGAGCGGGTAGGATCAATCCATTGAAAATGGTGGGCATGGCCAGGCAAGTGAAACCTTGCCCTTTTTTATCATATGCCCCAATAACACTGATTTAAAAGGGCAGGGTACCCTTGATTAACATAAGTTGAAAGCAAGATCAGCTTTAGAACTCAAGTGATTTTAGCAATGTGAAAGTGCTGTTTCAATACCTGATGGCAAATACATTATGCACATACCAATGATGGATTTCAAAATTTTTTACTACCAGTTCTGTGGGTGTGGCTTGGTGGGCGTGGCTTGGTGGGCGTGGCAGGGGAAGGATACTGTAAAATCTCCGATAGCCACCCACCGACCAGTACGCTCCCACAGAGAGGGACTCCTCAGGGTGCCGTCAGCCAGCAATGTCGGCTGGCGACCCCCAGGGGGAGGGCCTTCTCTGTGGCAGCTCCTGCCCTCTGGAACGATTTGCCTCCGGAGATACAAAGGATATCGGATCTCCGGGTTTTTCGCCATGCCCTAAAAACGTTTCTTTTCCATCAAGCAGGGCTGGCGTGAAAACCCCACCCCCTTTTTTTAGTTTTTTAGCTTTTTAAATTGTCAAATGGGTTTTAGTTTTCAATATTTTAAATTTTTTGGGCCACAGTTATTTAATTCTTTTAATAATTTTAAATTTTGTATTGATATGTGTTTTAATTCTGGCTGTGCACCACCCTGAGTCCACTTGGAGAAGGGCGGGATATAAATTGAATTACATAAATAAATAAATAAATAAATAAATAAATAAATAAATAAATAAATAAATAAATAAATAAATAAATTCCCTCCCCACTCCAGGGGAAGGTTACTGCAAGATCCCCATTTCCTCCTGATCAGCTGGAACTTGGGAGGCAGAGAATAGATGGAGGCGGGGCCAGTCAGAATTTTTACTACCGGTTCTCCGAACTACTCAAAATTTCTGCTACCGGTTCTTCAGAACTGGTCAGAACCTGCTGAAACCCACCTCTGGCACATACTATTCCAAGTAGGTGAATGTTATTTGATAGGGTGGCCAACAAAGCTACCTTAATTCTCCAAATGCCTCTGAAACGAAGGGGCTTAAGGATTCTAAGTTTTACATTATTGTTTTAGATTTATAAACTTGGAAGAAAGCCGTGAGATGAAACATATGAGCTGATACTTTATGATGCATACCCATTGTAATGTCTTATTTATTGCAATGACCGAGCTGAGAATAAATTTATGGCAAAGAATTATTTCTCTTCCTCTCCCCTACGATTCCTGAGACAGAGCGTTCGATAGTTTGCTTAAAATCATAGCTGGCATGCCAGGGGTTTTTTTTCTTTAAAATAAACAAACTCTTATAAAATAGACCCTGTCATCTGAACAAACTTAACATCTGTGTAACATGCTTAGGATAAGAATCATTTGGAATGAAGAGGGCTTTAACCCTGTTATTAGATATGCTTGCAAAAATGGCAAAGCAGATCAGTTTGATGGGAGAAGAGGGAGATCGAGAGGGGAAGGAAGGAAGGAAGGAAGGAAGGAAGGAAGGAAGGAAGGAAGGAAGGAAGGAAGAAAAAAGAAAGGTAGAAAGAAAGAAAGAAGGAAGGAGGGAGGGAGGGAGGGAGGAAGGGAGGGACAAAAAGAAAGGAAGGAAGGAGAGAAGGAAGGTAAACAGAAAAAAGAAAAAAGAAAGGTAGAAAGAAAGAAAGGAAAAAAAAGGAAGGAAGGAAGGAAGGTAGAAAAAAGAAGAAAGAAAGGTGGAAAGAAAGAGAAAGGAAGGAAGGAAGGAAGGAAGGAAGGAAGGAAGGAAGGAAGAAAGAAAGAAAGAAAGAAAGAAAGAAAGAAAGAAAGAAAGAAAGAGAACTATTACAATTAGAACATGGAAAGTTAGCCGAACAAAACCCTATTTTTCATTGTTTATCATTCTTGGCTTTACACACAATGACTCAATGACAGACTAAAGCCAAGGAGATGGAAAATTGTACACAGTTAATTGTCTCGGACAGTAAGCAAATAAACAATCCCAGTTATGAATAGCTGTATTCCTCCACCCCTCCTGTCCATGAAAAGAAGTGACAGGCACAGAGATGTTCGAGAAAAGTCATTCAAGGCAGGAGAAAGGCATATTTCCTTTTATTGTTTTGAACAAAGGTACTTTCTGCTTGGGAAGCATTTTTTTTCCATCGGTTTTGCACTGCCCTGTGGTTCTACAGTATAGATATTCCCATTGCTACCTTTATTATTCAAACAATGCTATCATTACTGACATGCTCTGCCCAGGTATTGGGGGGCTGTGACCCTCCAGATGTTGCTGTAATTAAAGAGTCTTCTTTCGTTGGGGAAGTTCGTTACTTGGAACCGACACCTACTATTCCTCACCACAGCTAGAAGTTAAAGTATTTCCTACATCTATCCTTTATCTCTTTTTATTGACATGTATATGGCACTGGGACATGGTGGCTCAGTGGCTAAGACACTGAGCTTGTCAATCGAAAGGTCGGCAGTTCAGCGGTTCAAATCCCTAGTGCCGTATAACGGGGTGAGCTCCAGGGGTGGGTTCTACTTACCTTTACTATTGGTTCGCAATGGGGCTGTGCGCATGCACAGACGCTTCTGCACATGCACAGAAGCTTCCTGATGACATCAGGGTCGGTGGGCGGAGCCTCCCGCCGGTTTTACTACTGGTTCTATAGAACTGGTCCGAACTGGGGGCAACCCACCACTGGTGAGCTCCTGTTACTTGTCCCACCTTCTGCCAACCTAGCAGTTTGAAAGCGCGTAAAAAATGCAAGTAGAAAAATAGGGACCACCTTTGGTGGGAAGGTAACAGCGTTCCATGCGCCTTTGGTGTTTAGTCATGCTGGCCACATGACCACGGAGATGTCTTCGGACAACGCTGGCTCTTCGGCTTTGAAACAGAGATGAGCACCGCCCTCTAGAGTAAGGAACGACTAGCACATATGTGCGAGGGGAACTTACCTTATATGGCACTAGCACTTAGACTTATACACAGTTGTTTACAGCCTTCTCTAAGCAGTTTAAGAGTCAGCCTACTGTCCCCAACAATCTGGGTCCTCATTTTACCAACCTCAGAAGGATGGAAGGCTGAGTCAACCTTAAGTTGGTCAGGCTGGCAGTGGGCAGAGTTTGCCTGCAATACTGCTTTCTAACCACTGCACCACCACAGCTCAATAATACAATTGTGATCTTAATATTAAGTAATTCATTTCAGACCAAAACTATTGTCACATAACTACTTCAATATGACATGCAGTGGTCCTTTTTTATATTATACTCAATTTTGGATGACAAGTTATGTAATTTTATGCTTGCAATCTTGACATTCTAAAATGCTATTAGTATTGATAGACATCTTACTTTTCTTCTTCCTTTTATCAATACTTTCAGCTTTATGAATAATAGAATAGTCATAATTTATAATTATATTACATTGTATTATAATTTATAATTATATTGTATAAAAATCTGCATTGAAATAATACAATGTATCAAGATTCATAACATCTCAATAGGGAAGAAAAGAATGGGATATGATAGAAAAGTCTACAGAAATGAATTGTCTGTTGTTTTCAACATTCTCCTTCCAGCCTTTTTTATCTATCACCCATTTCTTCATAACAAACACTCCATCCACAGTTTCTCAGAGCAAGAATTACTAAACTCTGCCAGTAACTATCATATCTTCAACCAGACTCTCAATAGCAGATATTGCCAAAGATGGCAACAAGGTTGAAGTATAAGCCAGATGTTTCTAGACCAGGGGTGTCAAACTGGCGGCCTGTGGGCCGGATGCATCACACATAGACCACGCCCACCCCAGCTTCGCCAAGGGGAAAAACATCGCAAAACATCACATGATGGCAACTTGACACTGTGAGTTCGACACCCGTGTTTTAGTCCTTCAGTCAACCTTCAGGGACCCATCTTCAGTCCTTGGCTACTGATTCATCTGCAGGTAGTCCTCGACTTACAACAGTCCATTTAGTGACCGTTCAAAGTTCACAAAGTTCAACAGCACTGAAAAAAGTGACTTACGACCATTTTTCCACAGTTACAATCTTTTGCAGCATCACGTGATCAAAATTCAGATGCTTGGCAACTGGTTCACATTTATAACCGCTGCTGTGTCCTAAGTTCATGTGATTCTGTTTTGCCACCTTCTGACAAGCAAAGTCAATGGGGAAGCCAGATTCACTTAAGAATCAAGTTGCTAAGTCATCAACTTCAGCGATTCACTTAACAACTGAGGTAAGAAAGATCGTAAAATGGGGCAAAACTCACTTAACAAATGTTTCAGTTAACAATGGAGATTTTGGGCTCAATTGTGGTCGTAAATCGAGGACTGCCTGCAGTCCTTCACAAATTCCTTCTCAAGAATATTTGAAGAAAATAAAGATTTCAAGTTTTTTTTAAAAAAAATCCTAAGAGTAAAACACAAAGCTCATTGAGAAAATGTGGTGTTTACCACATAATATGTACATACTGACTGACAGTTCTAAAATTGTACTCCCAGACATCTGGGTAACACAAAGCTGAAGAAGACTGTTATATATTTAGAACAAAGCGAATCTTCCTTCGGAGTAAATATTTATAGAGGCAATTCTGTTCATGTCTTTACAGATAAAAGCTCCATTCAGTTTGATAATAGCATTTGCTCCCTGCTAAGGACGGACAAGACCTCAACAACAATATCATGAACTGACACAAACAAGCCATCGATGGAGTGGAGTAACTTCCTTCAGGCAGCACCAGATGCTGTAGAGAAAGGAAGGCAGGAATTCATTTCAAAATATTTGCCGAAGTGGGAGGAAAAACACTGGGACTCTGCTTCAGCAGGAGGAGGTAATATCCCTTTTTCCAGCCTCTATATTCTAAACATCTGGAAAGTACAGTACATCCATCTCAGACATGAAAGAATAAAAAGCCGCATGTGAAAAAATGACTGTGTGCTCCAATTTAGTAATCTTAACCAAAATTAGACTTTTGCAGCCAATCTCTTTCTGTAAATAAATTTGGGAAATTGAGCTGATATTTGTAGCAGTTCTTTGCAGGTCCCCTTAAGGAGAACTGAGAAATGTTTTTATTCTTAGCCTTTTCCTGGAAAATCAACATCTGTCAGCCACCCTGGGTACTTCCCTCACCAGGATTCACTGTGAAGCATCTAAGACCGCAGAACTAAATCAGAATTTTCTGCTGGTAGGGAAGAATAAGGGGTACAACATGCTAGGTAAAGGTAAAGGTTCCCCTCACACATATATGCTAGTCATTCCCGACCCTAGGGGGCAGTGCTCATATCCATTTCAAAGCCGAAGAGCCAGCACTGTCCGAAGACATCTCCGTGGTCATGTGGCCGACATGACTAAACACCAAAGGCGCATGGAATGCTGTTACCTTCCCACCAAAGGTGGTTCCTATTTTTCTACTTGCATTTTTTACGTGCTTTCGAACTGCTAGGTTGGCAGAAGGTGGGACAAGTAACGGGAGCTCACCCCGTTACACGGCACTAGGGATTCGAACCGCTAAACTGCCGATCTTTCGATCAACAAGCTCAGCGTCTTAGCCACCGAGCCACCACATCCCACTGAGCCACCGCAACCTAACATTCTAGATTAAGTTAAAATGGACTTTGGTGTTTTGGAATTCAACAGGTTGTGAGAATCCAACCACTAGGAAGTTGTCTGAACTGATGTTGTCATGCTAAATGTTAACATGGTTTCTTTCTTTCCTAACACAGGAATTGTGTTTTGAGCATCTGGGTGTAACATTGAAACATAGAATGTGAACTCATCCTAGTAAGAGCAGTTTACAGTATCTAAAATTAAGTCTGGAGGAGCAGAGCAAACTGAAGTAGCTGGATGGTTATTATTAATTCTTTCATATTACCCTTGGACCTTGGCTTCCATCTCGTCCTGGTGACCCCGTTGGTCCTGGAATACCCTAAAGAACACCCAAAAAATGAGTCAAATTGTACACTTAAATTCACATTTCTGCTAATAACAGCAACAGTAATAGTATAATTTACTTATCCATATTTCTTTTAAAAAAGCACATAAATCTAAATATAGACTGATTAATGGCATTGCACTGTCCATTTGTAACTTTTATTGAGCCATGAAGCTTCAGGCAAATGTTCTGAGGGAGAGTCAAAGCAATTACCTTGGAGTCAAATGTCTGAACTGAAGGTTTCATTCAGCCTGCAGCTTCACAGGTGTATATGGGGAGGAAGGTGGTTCGGAGAGCTGGTAGCGATGGCGCAAGGCTCCGCCCACCCACCTGGTTGTCATTACTTCCTGGTTTTAACCAGGGAGTAATGTGTTTTTTACCCTCTGTGCATGTGTGGCGCGTGCACTTCTGAACCGGTAAGGAAGGTAGATGTCAGCACTCCAAACTACACTCGTTCCAGTGCTGACATAAGGAGGAGAAGAGGGGACAGCTGGCAAGAGGATACTTGACTTTTCACCTACTTATTTTCCCTGAAGATAATATCCCCTAGGAGATGGGACGGGAGGGGGCACATTCCTGGGAGCTGAAGTAGTAGATATGGGGAGAGTGATTTGGAAGATGGCCAATGAGGCACAGAGAATTGGGGAACGGAAAGGGAAGGTTGGGGTCAGGAAGACGTAGTCGGGAACAGATTGTCGTGCTTAATAAATGAAAGGTTTCATCAAAGACTATTTGGAAATGCAATTTATTTGAGACGACACCGAAACCTGACAGTAAGTAGATTTCACCCCTGATTTAAAGCCCTTTATGGCATGGGTCCAGGATACCTTAGGAATGATCTTGCCCAATGGGATTGGCTCACCCCACATATTCTGGTGGAAGAGACCAACAGTGGACCCCACGAGCCAAGGAAATTTGGCTAGTGGGGTGTAAGAGAAGAGCCTTTTCTGCTGAGCCCCTCCATCCTTTGGAACATCCTGCCTCCAGAAGTGACGTTTATCCCCTCTCTCCTGGCCTTTTGAAAGGAACTTAAGATCTGGCTCTGTCAACTGGCATGGGTCCCAATAGAGATGCTCAGGATGGAGGTAGCTGGTGCAATGACCAGAACAAGGCACCATCTCTGCTCCATGATTTTCAGTCAATTTAATTCTTGCAATCATAACTGTTCCTATATTTATAACTTTTATACTTCAATTTTTATTGCTTTGTAAGCCACCCGGAATCACTCTAGATAGTGAGATGGGTGGTATATAAATTTAATAAATAAATAATAATAATAATAATAATACAGCTCTGAAATATCTAATGACTGAGTAGCTGCAGTAACTCCATTCTAGACCAGCATAGACCAAGGGTTACCTGAAGACCTGGACGCCCAATTTCTCCCCTTTCTCCTTTTTCTCCACTTGGTCCCTGAAAACGAATAAATGCTCTTTATTATTTATTTCACTGCCCTCCTTTCTTCTCATCCAAACAAAACGATGAATTGCCAATTTCTTTCTGGAGAAGGGAGAAAAAAGGAATCCTAACATTGCTTTTATGAAATTATGGTAAGAAAGTTTTCAACTATGGAAGAAAGGGTGGGATAGCCCTTAATTAAATCCATAAACCATGGCATCCGATTCTTTTTTAATTGTAGCTTGTTTTGATCTACAGTTGTTGGGCAGACTATAGATTACATCCACTATACAAGCAGACTTTTAACCACAGAATTGGTTTTCTTTAGTTCCTCTCTGCCTCCACCTTCCCATATCTGTGTCTCCATATCTGGCCTAGAGGGAAGGAGAGAAGAAAGCAATTTTTTCTGCTTATAAAGAAAAATAGGAAGAGGAGAATCAGAAAATGTATTTTTCTTACCCTTATGATATTACAACGCTACTTTTTTTGATACTACTTTTGATACTGCTTTGTCTAGCTCAAGCTTTTCATTGAGGGCTGCATCAGGGTTGTGTTTGACCTTAGGGGGGCCAGGGTGGGGTTGGCCAAGGTGGGTGTGGCCAGCTCGATGTCATTCGTGTTGGGGGTGCCTTTGTCGGCCCGAGCACTCTTCCAGCGAAAACAGGCTCCCGAGCTCCGTTTTCGGCTGTGAAGGCTTCCTGCAACCCTCTGCCAGCAAAAACGGAGTTTGGGAGGGCAACCCGGGGCCCTTGTGAGCTCTGTTTTTGGCTGCAATGGCCTCCTGCAATCCTCTGCTAGCTAAAATGAAGCTCAGGAGGGCCACGCACAGCCTTCCTGAGTCTGTTTTCACTGGCAGAGGCACACGGGTTGGTCCTTCGCTGTTTCCAAGTCGAGCCCCACAGGCCAGATCTAAGCACCCTGCAAGCCGGATTTGGCCCACAGGCCTCGAGTTTGACACCCTTGCCCTCAGGCTCTCATTGCAGTGGCTGAAACTACACGAGAAAAGGAGACCACTGTTGGATCAGATTAAAGCCCCATCTAAATCAATTTCCTAGTTCTGACACCATATTTATTTATTTATCAAATGGATGCCACCCAAAGCATGTCACGGAAGTGCCAACACTCTTCTGCTTGTGTTCCTCAGCAACTGGACAAGAAGTATCGAACAGAATAACAGAGCTGGAAGAGACCTTGGAGGTCATCTAGTCCAACCCCCTGCTCAAGCATAATAATAAACCTACTGGAGGTCCTTCGATTGAAAGTCCACTTGGCCCCTGTGGCCCAGGAGGCCCTTGAGGGCCTGGAGTACCAATTTCACCCCGAGGTCCATCAGGTCCCTAGAACCAAAAAATTAATCATCATAAATTCCATGCACTTTATTTATTTACATAACCTATTTTATCCTGCTGTTTATGCTAACATGACTCATAAAAGTAATGGAAAAACCTGAACAGTAGTCCTCGACTTACAACTCTAACTGAGACTGGCAATTATGATTGTAACCTGGGATGGTGGTAAAAGGGTCACCTTTTGACTGGACTTATTTTTACCTTATTTGCGATGGTCGTTAAGGGAACACCACAGTCGTTAAGTAAATTCTGTGGCTGTTAAATAGACACTTTGGTTGTTAAAGGATTGCTGCAGTCATTAAGCAAACACCATGGTTAAGCAAACCTTCAGTTGCCGTGGGCAGATTTTTGCCAGAAACCGGAAGTAAACACCAGTTCCCAGCTAAAATGTCATAAATGGCAGTTATGTGATTACAGGGCACTGCAAACAGCCGTATACACAGTGGTGGGTTTCAAATTTTTTTACTACCGGTTCTGTGGGCGTGGCTTGGTGGGCGTGGCATGACTTGGTGGGCATGGCTTGGTGGGCGTGGCAGGGGAAGGTTACTGCAAAATCCCCATTTCCTCCCGATCAGCTGAGACTCGGAAGGCAGAGAATAGATGGGGGCGGGGCCAGTCAGAATTTTTACTACTGGTTCTCCGAACTACTCAAAATTTCCGCTACCGGTTCTCCGGAACTGGTCAGAACCTGCTGAAACCTGCCTCTGCATATACAGATAACTCTCGACTTACAACAATTTGCTTAGTGACTGTTTATGGGTGGATATATAGGTGAGCTGTAGGAATTGTATAAAGACAACACCTCACAAAAACATCGGCATTCCTGAAACCTTTCACATGACTTTGGTGCCAAGTACAGGTATGTAACAGTGTGACGTAATGTGATGGAGAAAGTTTAAGAAAGAAACTTCTTTGTAAAGCTCTAAAATTGAATGTAGAAATTAATAGCATTTAAGTAGGAGTAACAGAAGATGCCATGATTTCTACCCTCTCTATAGAAATCCTTGCCCTGTTTAGCAATTTTCCTGGTCCGTCCATCCCCAAATTGTTTTTCTCCCAATAATAATGATTAAAAAAAAGAAGATAACAAGACAAAAGGTCTTGTAGGTCACATTCTACATAGACAATGAAATCATTATGTGGGATCAGTGGCTGGGATCAGTGGTGGGTTGCCCCCGGTTTGGACCGGTTCTATTGAACCGGTAGTAAAAGCAGAGGGAGGCTCCGCCTACTGATCCCAGCATCATCAGAACGGGGTCTTCTGCGCATGCACACGGCCCCGTTGCAAACCAATAGTAAAGGTAAGCAGAACCCACCCCTGGCTGGGATATACACAGACTATAATACAGAAGGAAGCAGCATTGGCCAGTTACCTTTGGGCCATCGTCACCACGGCTTCCTTTCGGACCTCGGAGACCTGGACCTCCCTATCAAACACATTTAAGATTAAAAGAAAATCAAGTAAGTCCTGTTGTTCAGTGTTGCAATGTATTTATATCTCCTACTCAAGAAAGTCCCTATTCAGAGTTTTAGCCAAACAGCTATCTTTTAACTTATCTCAGTTACTTTTCCAACAGGCACAATTCAGTACTACTGAAAATAACTTGTTCTCTCAAGGATGCTGTTGTTTCATAGCAGTTCTGTTTGGTTCTAAGCCTGGTTGCAGAATTCACCAATACTGAGGGCATCATCGTCATTCATCAACCGTTATCATCTCCTCCTCCTCCTCCATCTCCTCCTCCTCCTCCTCTTCTATTCTACCCATAACTCTTCCCCATCCCTAAATATTCCTATTTTTCTTAAGAAAAGCACAATCGGAATTTGGCCTTCACAAAGCCAATTGGGAATTTTCTATAAAAATGTCATTTCTGATTCATTTTTGCACTTTTCTTCATTTTGGAAACCAGCCAATGATGCAGATGAGTGACACTTGAGTAAGTGCCCAAGGGTAGATTTCTGTCTTACTCCTGTGACCCTTAGTAAGGCTATGCTTGCTTTAAAACACGGATGTCAAACTCGCCGCGTCACATTGCCATCACGTGAAGTATCATGACGTTTTTCTCCTTGGAGGAGCTGGGGTGGGCATGGCCTGCGTGTGTCCACCAGTTTGACAACCCTGCTTTAAAAACAAATGTAGATGAAATACAAATCCAACATATTTTCAAGGTATTATATTAGGGAAGAGAGAAATGCTAAGGATGTTTCTAGGCATAGTCATTATTGTTCAAAGGCCCTACCCAATGTCTGATTCACTGAAATTGATGGGCGGTCCAATAATCTACCACATTTATTCCATCACTTCTCTTTTCTTTCAGCAAGCATCAAATGAGGAGAGAAAGATGGAATAGCTTGAAGCTTTGATTATCATCTGAAGTAAACAAACATCTGGAAAGTTTCCAGCACTCTTAAGTAATGGAACAAGAACAAAGAAGCCTTATTGTATATGTATGTTATTTCAAAACAACATTTAGAAACAGGAAACCTTATATGCTGGGGTGGGCTTCAAAAATTTTAGCAAGGGGTTCTCTGCCCGGTTGCTGGGTGGGCATGGCCATGGTGGGCATGGCCCAATTGGCCTCCTGCACCATGGTGGGGGGGCATTTTTGCCCTTCCCAGGCTCCGGAGGCTTTTCTTGAACCTCCGGGAGGGCGAAAATGGCCTCCCCAGGCTCCAGGCCCTCTGGAGGCCGGAAAAGGCGAACTTTCAGTAGCCTGTTTTTCGCCCTCCCCGAGCCACCGTGTGCGCCCTGCACTAATCTGCATCCAAAATGGGCTGCGTGGGGATTCTTGCGAGGAGTGGGGTGGGGTGGGCAGGGCCAGCCAGGAGTAAAATTTGGGGGTTCTCCGAGCTGTACACAATCTTAGCTAGAAGTTCTCCCAAACCCCTGCGAACCCCCAGCAGCCCACCCTTGCTTATATGTGAGACATACAAATGTCACATCCTTTGTGTTTCAGTGCCTTTCAGATGTACAAAGGCTACCACCCAAGCTAGTGGGAAACGACAGCTGCTCTTCAATACAAACTCTACTTCAGAGCCAGTAGTAGTCCTTATTTCAATTCAATGTGTTAAATTCTCAGCCCACAAAGAAGATAGATTTTAGCAGATTGCATCACTGAGCTACGATCTCAATCTATCCAATAAAATTTGATACTTTGCCACCTGGGAGTACTTGAAGTGGCACATTAGTGAAAGACTAATAAAGGAAAACCTTACAGGTGGTCCTTGGGGCCCAGGAGATCCTTTGTTGACTTCAGAACAGGAACAAGAATGTGGAAGGGCAGGGCAGCCTTCTTCATCTCTCTAACAACAACAACAACAACAACAAAGGTTGTGTTATCTTCAGTATATTCCAAATTAGGATACTATGGATGCTGGTTAGGTGATCCTCTTTTGCAGACCATTCCAAACATAGTTAGAATTGAATTGCAAATCACTAAATAAGTATTCTTAATGGGTAACATCTTACCAAAGCTGGAAGTTCACAGCACTTATCTCTATTGGCCCATGAAGTGGAACAAACGATATCAAACATCTGCAGCTGGAACTGGTTAAGAAGGAAAAAATAATTCCAAATTGATTAGGCACCATTTAATAAAAACATAACAAAAAAACCTGAAGACAATAATCACTCATGAGGTTTTTTTTTTTTTACTTATCAAATCATGAACAAAATGCTTGCCTAAGAGATGCAGTTGTATAAAAAGATTTTAAAATCTGCCCAAATTTATCTAGAATTTCAATTGAAGGTGACTTCCAAATGGAAACTTAAAGAAACTCAACTGTCTCTAGAATTATGCTTCCAGCAACCCATCTTTTATTTTAAAAAGTAAATTATTTCCAGGAAAAATATTTCGGGTCGATCCAGATAATCCTCAATTTACAACCACAATTGAGCCCAAAATTCCTGTGGCTAAGTGAGACAGTTGTTAAATGTATTTTGCCCCATTTTTATGACCTTTTGTTCTGCCCCAGCTACGGATCCCAAAGAACGCAGCAGACACAAACTCTGAACAAAACTTGGTTTACTCAAATAACGCAGGTTTTTGCAAATGCAGGCTGTTAATAAACATTCTTAACAGCCTGCCAGAATTCCACAGATAAGATAGTCAGAGTCTTACTAGAGTTGGCAGAAAGCCCAGAAGCAATGTTGCAGAGATATCCAAACTCGATGATTAGCGAACTAAAGTTGTTTCCTGCAGCTTGTTGCAAGCTGCGTTCATTCTTAAATAGGCTAAGGGAGTGGCCAATTAGCCCCAAGCCTTACTCTCAAGGAGACCTCCTCCTGAGGAACCACTCCTGCCTTTTGGCAGCTCTGCGTCCTCGTGCATTGAGAAGAGGCTCCTCCTCTTCATCCTCTTCACTTAAAGGAGCCTCTGGAGGTTCTGAAGGCCCTGACAGAATCCCTGCCTCTGGCACCACATCTTCTTCAGCCTCCTCGCTGTCCGACTCGAGCGCCGGCTGCACAGGCTGATGGCGCAGCACCAAACCAGCCTCCTCCTCGTCGGGATCAGCAACAATCCGCGCAGGCCACCTTTTGTACCACAATTGTTAAGTGAATTGCTACAGCTGTTAAATTAGTAACACAGTTATTAAGTGAATCTGGTTTTCCCCCTTGATTTTGCTCATCAGAAGACCGCAAAAGATGATCACGTGATGTCAGAATATATCCATCAACTGGAATAGGACATAGTAATAAAGTCAGCCAATTGGGAGCGGAGACAGACTGGAGCCAGGGTGTGTCTTAGTCTGGCGCTTCTGAGTCTGTGCAGAGCTAAAATGAAACTAGTCTCTCTGTTATATTCTGTGTGTGAATTTGTCTGCTGATCTGAGCTGAAGAACCAACTGTTGGTATTGTAAATATACTTTATGTGTTATTATGAATATAAAGAAATTAATGAATCCAGCTGATTCAGTTATCTGTGTGTGCTTCTGGATTTGATTTTTGCGAAAAACTCTGACATGTGACCCCGAGGACACTGCAACTGTCATAAATATGAATCAGTTGCCAAGTGTCCGAATTTTGATCATGTGACATTGGGGATGCCGCAATGGTTGTAAGAGTGAAAAATGGTCATCAGGCATTTTTTTCAGTGCCGTTGTAAATTCGAATGGTTACTAAATGAACTATTGTAAATCGAGGACTACTTCTACAATCATGCTGATGAAAGCAAACTCATCTTTGTTTTCCAAAATTATTCCTCTTTCACCTCCAGTACCTAATCCTACAAATGTCGTAATTCTGTTATATTGAGAACAATGCAATAACTATTACTCATATTGCTTAAATCAAGCCCAAAATCAGAGTTAAAAGGTATATAAAGAAGTAAATATTTGTTGAGAATCCATAGCTCAGCCCACAGAGTTTAAATTTAGTTTCCTGAAGCCTTCATTCTGAAATAAACAATTTCCCATAAATCTCCAAATGCCAATTCACCTCTCATGCAACATTTCCAAGAGAACAAAGAAATGGTTTCTTTAAAGATCCCTCAAGGGATGAAATTTAAATTAAGAATATATACTAGCATAACTCGTTTTGCCATGTCTGCAGACATCTTCAGACATGACTCTTCTACAAGGGGGGGGACATTCAGTTAAATTCAACAGAGGATCTGGTCAGGGAACACACTGGATATCACAGAGAATGTTTTCTCTGAAATGTACACATTGGCCCATTCCAAATGAAGCATATATGCCCAATGGTTTTGCTTGCATCTAATTGTGTCCAATTCTTAAAAACTGCTTGGATAAGTCTCTGCAGTGCTCTTGGCCAGATTTCAGAATTGGTTCACTACTGCCTCCTTCCTAGGGCTGAGAGAGAATGACTGGCCCAAGATTACCCAGGTGGCTTTGTGCTAAAGCAGTGGTCCTCGACCTTTTCATCCCCATGGACCCAAAATACCTTTTGTATTTTATCACCCTAGCTGGGGAATTCTGGGATTTGAAGGCCACACATTTTAAAGTTGCCAAGTCTCAAAAATACTGCATTATATGGAGTAAATCAAGATTCGAGTTACGCATGCTTGCAATCACTTCTGTTGTGCTTTGCCATTTAAAAGGAACTTCCAAATTTACTATCAGGGTGCCAGATATGGTTTAGGACAAAATATATACTCTGTGTGTGTGTATGTGCAGGAAACTGAAGCATTCTTGATGTTTTAGCCTCATGGACCACAAGACAGCATCAAGACATAATTTCCTGAAAAAATACACTGTACCTAATCAAAAGCACAGACTTTGTTAAAGTTGAATTTGCGAAAAGAATGCTTCTATTCGTTTTAAAATGCATGTTTGTGGACTTACATAACCATCAACCAATTCAGTTGCAGGCAACTGTTGTTTTTTTTTGCTTCCTGTGGGCGTATAGTTCACTTGACCACTTATCATGCATACAATCATGATTTTCCAAACAAAAGCCATCATTTCTTTCTTACAAAGCACCCTTCAATTGCAACTTTTTACAAGACGGCCTTTGTCATTCTCTGCTGGATCATGGCCACAGAGGTTGCTTGGTTCAATTGCCTTATAGGAGTTGATATATTAATTGCCAGGCTTAAGTCAGGAGTCTGAAAACACTTCTTTGTGCAAAGCACATAATTTTATGTGGAGGGAGGGCAACTATGTATTTCACAGGCCAAACAAGCTGATGTCCATTAGGTTTAAGAATCTCGTTTGGTCAAGAGAGCTCAAAGGACATGACCAGATTGTCCAGCTTTGAAAATTAAATCCACCTCTTCTCTCTTATTAAATTCTCCTCTTGCTTAATTAGATAATTGTAACAATGCTCTGGAAGAGCTTCCCTTAACTTGTTGGGAACTGTCATCTTGAAAAACAGATAAAAGTACAGGCGAGGTCTCAAGAGTTCAGTATGATCAAGAACTTCCCAGAGAGTGACCCAAATGACTTTTCCCACTAGAATTTGCCCACAACACAAAGATGCCTTGACAAAGTGGTGGGACATACATTAGATTTAAAATGAATGAAGTGGATGGTGGCATAGCTGAATTAATGTTTTTATCTCAGCTCCTTTACTTACTGGTGCAGAACTGTCTCTTGGTCCTCTTGATCGAACCATTCTTCCCAGTACTTCAATCCCGTTAGAAGTGATATTTCCTGCTGCGTTGATAATCTTCTCACCCACTTCCTTGCAATCAATCACTACTTTAGCAGTGGTTTTGCTGATAACAATATGCAGCTGGAAGAGGAGAAGGAGGTTTTAATACACAACCAGGGAGCCATTAAAAAAGAGCTCTTTGTAATCCTTTTAATGCAATTCACAGACATGCTATTTGTTTTGTAAAGTTTCTGTATGCACGGAGGGCTGCAGTCTCCTGCATTCCTCAAGTAACCTGTTGGCCACTAATTCCATTTTGCAGCTAGGCGAGAATATCACAAGTTCTCGCCTTCAGACCTAACTGAAGATTGAGGATTGAGGGACAAATGGGGTGTATGCAGAGCCAGAATGGGGAGAATCAGCCAGCTTGACCCATACCTCTGTAACAGAAATCCATAATTTATGTGGATTTGCGTGGCTTGTCAATGGCCAAATTCCAAAAATAAGAAGATCACGGTATGTACTGAGAGAATGTCCCAAGAGCTTTGAGGAAAAAAATAGGTGGCATTTTAAGGTTTAAGACCTTCATTTTGACCCTTGAAATGTCTCCAAACCACTCTAAAAGCAAAAACCACATCAAGTTTATTTGTCGTTCCAGAAAGTTCTCCAATATAATTTTGTTTAGATTTTTTAAAAAAATCTTACCTTTATTATTTTTATAAATCACTCAAGGCAGCAAACATATCTAATACACTTTCCCTTGTCTTATTTTCCCCACAACAACAATCCTGTAAGTTGAGTTAGGCTAACAGTTAGTGACTGGCCTAAAGGCACTAACAGTTACAGAGTTGGAAGGGACCTTGGAGATCATCTAGTCCAACCCCCTGCTCACACAGGAGACCTGTACTAGGGATTCGAACCGCCAGAACTGCCGATCTTTCTGATTGACAAGCTCAGTGTCTTAGCCCCAGAGCTACCTAGTCAGGCAGCTTTCTGTCAGGCACTCATCTGGCTTTCATGGCTAAAGCGGGACTCGAACTCATGGTCTCCTGATTTCTAGCCTGTTGCCTTCCCCACTAGACCAAATTGGTTCTCATTTGTAGGGTTTCTTTCTATTTTTTGCACATTGGCAAAAAATTGCAGTTATAATAATTTAAAATTAAATTAAAGAAAACAAAACAAAACAAAACAATATATAAATACAAGAGGCCTAAAATATTAAATACTGAAGACTAATCCCAGGAGAAAACTATTCTGCTAGAATGTAAAAAAGAGTGGTATAAAATCGTGTAAACATTTAGACAGCTGCCATATTGCTCCCCTTCTTTCTAGACAAGTTAAATAACAATTGTCTTATTTTACTCTTTTGCAATGATATAAGCTTGAAACAGAATTTGGCAGCTTTAAAGGTGACATCATTTTTAACAGTCTGAGAAGAAATGAAATTAAGAATCTGTTTATCAGAGGACTCAGCCAAAAAAAAATAAAATTAAAAATAAGTTAGGTCTACTTATTCGGACATTTCTTGAGGCCACAAAAGGGACACTAATAAATCATATGAAGCCCCCAAACCATTTTTTTTCTTGTATATTTGCTCTACAAGTTTGAATCCTCATAAATTTGGGGAAATAGAGCAATATTGGGAAACCTGGTTCCTTTGTATTTAAAATATTTTTAAAGATTTTTTCCAAAGGTGCTTTTCCCAAAAGGCAACTGGATTTTCTTGGGGTTTTTTACCTTTGAAAATCTTTCACTAATCATCCAAGAAGTTTCTTCAGTTCACTTCTTGGATAAGAAATGAAACGTTTTCAAAGGAAAAACAACGACAAGAAATTCTATTTGGCTTTTGGAAAAGCACCTTTGGGACAACAACGACGTGGATGATTGAGAATCCCCATATATATATTTTAAAGATCTTTTTGAAGCATATTTCAGCAAGTGTCTCACCTTATGGAAACTCCCATAAAATATTTTCTTTATGTCAGGCCCTTCAAAGGTTACCGTCTGGAATTCCCCTTTGTAGTCGTAATTGAAGAAAGTCAAGGTTTTGCCATCATCTGCACAGTGTATGAGAGAATAAGGCTCAGAGAACTGTCTACATTTTCTTTTTAAGGTTATATATTGGCTCATCATATTTTCAAGCAAAAGTCACGATCAGCCAGCTGGCCAAGAAGACAATGAGAAGCACAGGCTTCCATATTTCATCAAAACTCATTCCCAAAACTAGGCAAACTGAATAGGCAAAAGGGGAGGGAGTTTTGACAGGTGGATAAACTGCTTTCTTAGACGAAATGTGAGGATTTAAATTGGTTATAATAGTAACAGAGTTGGAAGGGACCTTGGAGGTCATTTAGTTCAGGGGTCACCAACTTTTCAAACCTCAGGGACCACTAAATTCATAATTTTAAATCCCATGGACCACTAGTATGATCTGCATAATGACCGGCTGGGTGGGCATGGCTAGGTGGTCATGTGACTGGGTGGGCGTTGTTAAGTCCTCACTAGTACGACCTCCGCCGAAACCTCCCTTGTTGCTGCCCTGCTCTGATTGAGTTAGACGCGAGCAGGCAGCTAGCGGGAAAACGCTACATTCGTATTGGGTCCCGCCGATCTGACAGCCTCTATTTAAGCAGCTGTCAGAGGGCAACAAGTTGACACACTTGACGCGCGCATAATGTTGTGGTTATTCCTCAGTTACTATTGTTAACAATAAAGTGTTGTGTTCGTCAGCCTAGTCTCCTCGTTATTGCCGAGTTCTCCAAATAGAACAGGCATGACCAGCTCCTCGCCTCCCCGCCTGGGCTCCTTAGGGCCCCAACAGGAAGCAGTTGTTGGAGCTAAGCAGCCACCGCAAGAAAGAGATGGCAAAACAGCTCAGTTCAAATTGGATCTGACGGAGATCCAATCTCCGTCAGGAAGGAGGCTCAGTAGAAGCACCTCACTGAGGACTACAAGCATAGGCTTTCCAAGTAGAGGGAAGACCTGCGGGAGTGCAAGGCCAGGTACCGGCACCTAGAGGCTCAGCGGGCTGAGATGGTCAGCCAGTTCCAGGCCATGATGCAGTCCCACTGGAACAAGGTCCTCCAGCTCTTCACCATCAGTGGCACTTCCCTCCAGCCTTTGCCCAAAGCCCCGCACCAGGAGGCCAAACCAGACCCCAAGTGGGAATGTCTGCCCCCCTCCGACCCACACAAAAAGACCTCAAAGGGGGAGACTCTCTGCAGCAACACCAACGTTCATTGCACGTATCCATCCCAGGGGCTGCAGTTTGAGGACCCCTGATTTAGTGCAATGTTCTGATCTAGTCCAACCCCTAGCTCACGCAGGAAACCTGTACCAGGGATTCGAACCACCGAAATGCCGATCTTTCTGATCGAAAGCTCAGTGTCAAAACCACTGAGCCACCTAGTCAGGTTAAATCTGAGCATCCCACAGACAAAAGGGAAGCTGTTTAAATTCACTTCCTTTATCCCAGGGATGTCAAACTCAAGGCCCGAGGGCCAGATTCGGCCTGCAGAGTGCTTAAATCTGGCCCAAGGGGACAGTCTGGAAATAGCAAAGGACTGGCCCGCAGTGCTTCTGGCAGCCAAAATGGGGTTGGGGGGGGCATTTTGTCAGGCAAACTGCTGCAGGTGGCCGTCCACCCAGTCTCTCCCCCATCCCCCAGCCGGCCCATGGAGGAGAAGTTGCCAGATGTCCACTATTTGAGCGGACAGTCCGCTTTTTTCACATTATGTTCACTTTTTTTTTTCACAAAATAGTGGACATTTTTTTTATTCAAAAGCTTTATGATGAAATGGTACGTAATCTAAAGCTGTACAGTCTAAGAGAATAAGGATAGGAGAATCGCGTTTTGTCTTTTTTTTTCATAAGTTAGAATGAGACAAAGATCGAATATCCATTGAACTCGATTCTCGATATTTGATGTTTTGAATTTTAAGTAAAGTTTTGAAGTGATTATTTTAATACGTGTTAAAATGTTTGTAAGAAAATATATAATTTAATTGTAAAAATTTTTTTAATTTTTTTACTACTTAACCCCCCTCCCCACTTGTCCGCTATTTTTTGGAAGCAGACCTGGCAACCCTAAGAACTACAATGCTGATCTGGCCCTCGAAGAAACCCAGTTTGACACCCCTGCTCTATCCCTATGCAAGCAAATTGAGGTTAATGAAATTCCTGGTCCTGAGATATGAAGGATACGCAGATATAAGTAATAAACATGGACAGTGCTGGCCAAACAGTGACATATAGGGAACCTACAGGTACCTCACCTTAGATACCTTCCGTGAGAAAAGGTGATTTATAAATATTTTATTAGATTTTTATCCTGACTACTTTATTGTTTTATAGGTAACTCGAGGTAATAAGCATATATAGTACTTGTTCCTCCTACTACTACTTTTTCCACAACAACTCTGTGAGGTGGGTTGGGCTGAGAGAAAGAAAATGGCCCAAAGTCACCCAGCCAGTTTTCATGGCCAAAGTAGGACTAGAACTCACGGTCTCCTGGTTTCTAGGCCAGCATCTTAATCACACCACACTGGCATTCTCATATATCATATTATAAATAAGATATAGCACATAAATAAATTAGTAGAAAAGCTTATGAAAAACTGGGTAGGAAAAACAGATTCCTTGAAAAAGACAACAGCAATCATGACTTCTTAAATCTCTTGTTGATAACATGCACACACACAAAAAATAATAATCAATCACAGCACAACTCCAAACCGCTATTGCTTAGCGCATTGTAAGCCACACTGAGTCTCCGGAGAAGGGCGGCATATAAATCAAATTAAAAAAAAAAAAACTGTACTCAGACAAACTGTACTACAGGCTCCAAAAAGAGCCTGTAGTACAGTGGATTAATAGCCTGTTATTAACATCTGCTGCTTGCAATTACTGCAAGTTCAAATCTCACCAGGCTCAAGGTTGACTCAGCCTTCCATCCTTTCAAAGGTAGGTAAAATGAGGACCCGGATTGTGGGGGCAATAAGCTGACTTTGTATAAATATACAAAAGTATGAAGGCTATTGCTTAACGCATTGTAAGCTGCCCTGAGTCTCCGGAGAAGGGCGGCATATAAATTAAAGCAAAAAAAAAACCACAGACACTTACTATCCAAAATAACTCCAACCAACGGCTCATAACTTTCATTTAAAATCTCCCACAGAGCAAATGGTTCCAGAGGTGTTTCAGGAAGGATGCGGAAGAGAAAAGTTATGGTGTAATCTGATGGGAGACCCTCGGGATGTAGATATCTGTGAAAAGAAAGTAAGTTTGCAGAAAGGGATATTAATACGGAGAGGTCCCTACATCAGGAACGAAGCATTTTTATTGAACCAAGGTTACTTACAGAAACCTTGTGCATAATATATTGTAAGGTCCCAAAATATACTTGAGTCACCAGAATGCCAAAGAGAGAGACTCAAGACGAGGCTTGCAAAAAGAAGCTGATTTTATTTATGGCCAAAAACAAAATACTGGGTGGGACTATATCCAGAACATACAGATACAATGCATGAGAGGAGATAGCCACACCTTGGGGAAGATATGGCGTCCTTTTTATACCCTGAGAGACATCATCTTAGTACCCAATTCTGGCCTCCTAGTTTAGGTTTGTGTATTCCTTGTTGCCCTGCAAAGGAATAGAAGCCTCCCAATTAGCGTTATCTCTTCATTGAGCATTCCTTTGTTCTCCTAATTGCTCATTTGGCCCCCTGGTTCGGCAAGGAACGAGCTTATACAGATCAAAGGTGTAAATTAGGGCTGAAGTGTAAATTATCCCTCGGATGATATCTGCAGTTCCAACTGAGATACATACCATGCTCTTAGATGGCACAAGAAAAACAGGAAGAAGATTGATATGGGTTCAGATCAAATGGCAGGAACATATGTTTGACAAATACCAGATATATTACAGAGGCCTAATAACAGAATATGTTTGTTACAGGAGATACAAATATAAAGGCATATTAGTGTTACAGATATAAAGGTACAATATATGTGTGTTATACAAATACAAAGGCTATATATGTATTACAGGAAACTAATGGTTACAGAATAACAAGTTTCTACTAATTCTAGGATGCCAGTATATCATATTCTAGTATTATTTATTATATCCTTATTACTGTTTCCCTTCAATATCAAGCGCCAAACTCTGTAAGAAGATAAAAGCTATAATCCATTTGAGGACACAACTGAGGAATAGCAATAGCACGTAGACTTATATACCGCTTCACGGTGCTTTACAGGCCTCTCTAAGCCGTTTACAGAGTCAGCATATTGCCCCCCAACAATCTGGATCCTCGTTTTACTGACCTCGGAAGGATGGAAGGCTGAATCAACCTTGAGCCTGGTCAGAATCGAACTGCTGGAGTGAGTAGTGAGTTACCCTGCAGTACTGCATTCTTAAGAGGACACTCTAATTTTGCCCCTGACGCACCTTCATAATTTTAACTGGGTAGGTGCTCCAACACTGGAGGTTTTTAAGAAGAGACTGGACAACCATGTGTCTGAAATGATGTAGGGCAGTGATGGCTAACCTTTTTGTTGTCGTGTACGAAAGCACACACGCACCTGCAGCCATAATGCAATGCGTGCGCAACACACTCCCATGCACCCTGCACCCTATGCGCATGCACGCATGACCCCCGCACTCCCCCTGCCCCCATGCATGCACACGTGACATCCCCCGCCCATGCCCCGTTTTGGACCTAGTAGCAATGGTGGGATTCAGCCAGTTCGCACCACTTCGGGAGAACCGGTTGTTAACTTTCTGAGCAATTTGGTGAACTGGTTGTTGGAAGAAATCATTAGGGCAGAGAACCGGTTGTTAAATTGTTTGAATCCCACCACTGCCTAGTAGGCCTCCCTGTAGCCTCCTGGGACCAAAAATGGACCACACGGGGGCGGTGCCACCCCGTGCTCTCCCCGCGCATGCAATGGCAAGTCTTGATTTGCTATACCTGTGCCCTGTAGTCTATCAATTCTACCAATCATGATAAAATTGCAGCTTCCCCCAAATACCTTATCAATCCTTGCCTCTTTAGCCAATTGTAACTGCAGAGTTTTGAGCCAACCTTATTGAACATCTGCCTACATGGATCCCCATAACTGCAAAATCAACATGCTCCATCAAACTGCATACAAGATTCCTGAGCAATGAAAGTCACCATCTCCATGCGTAGCTGGTAAATACCGCAGTCACTGCAGTTGTTAACTTAGTAATACGGTTGTTAAGTGAATCTGGTTTCCCTGTTGACTTTGCGTGTCAGAAACCTGCAAAAGGTGATCATGTATGAGCCGTGGTGGCACAGTGGTTAGAATGCAGTATTGCAGGCTAACTCACTGTTCACTGCCAGGAGTTCGATACCAACCGACTCAAGGTTGACTTGGCCTTCCATCATTTTGCAGTCAGTAAAATGGGGACCCAGATTTTTGGGGCAATACACTGACTCTGTAAACCGCTTAGAGAGGGCTGTAACAGCACTATGAAATGGCATATAAGTCTAAGTGCTATTCCTAAATGCTATCACATGACCCTGGGACACTGTGAATATCATAAATCAGTGGTGGGTTCCTCCCGGTTCCGCCCAGTTCCACCGAGCCGGTAGCGGTGACGATATGATGTCACCAAACCGGTTCTGCCCCCATGCCCCCCACCCCCACCCCCCGCATTATTCTTACCTTTTATTTGGCCCCACCCCCAATCTATTGCTGCCTCCTGAGTCCCAGCTGATGGCTAGAGGGAAAAAAACTGTTTAAACTCTTGCCGAGGGGCTTCAAAGGGCCGCCCTACAGCTGATCAGTGTTAAAAGAAAACAAATGAGTAGACCCGTGCCTGCAAAAATACATGAGTAGATCAGTGCCTGCAAAAATAAATGGATAGATCAGTACAGCTCTGCAAGCATTTAAAAGCCTGGTAGACCAGTACCTCTGCTAAATCCTAAATTATTGTCACATGACCACCAAGCCATGCCCACAAAATAAGCCACGCCCACAGAACCAGTAGTAAAAAAATTTAGAACCCACCCCTGTCATAAATATAAGCTAGTTGCCAAACATCCATATTTTGATCATGTGGCCATGGGGGTGCTGCAATGATTGCAAGTGTGAAAAACATCATAAGTAATTTTTTCAGTGCTGTTGTAACTTTGAATGGCCACTAAACTAATGTTGTAAGCCGAGGACTAACTGTAATCATTACAGAAGAACCATCATAACTGATGGTACTATCTCTAGTATAGTAGGAGTTGCAAATCTGAACACACATTTGAAACACATGTCTAAGGTTTGACTTATCATCAACATTTCATCAATATTCCTGAAATAAAAGAATATTGGGGTGGAAATATCTTCAGGTGAACAAATGAAGGAGAAATTGCTGAAGATCAGTGGATTAGGTCAAGGGATCATGTACAATTTAAACTTGGTGGACTTTTACTGGATGTCCTCAGTTGCAAACTTGGAATTTCAAAAGAAATAAAAGGAAATGTCCATAAGCTTAGGAAAAATTCAGATATCCTTAAATTTGAAGGACTAATGCAATAGAAGGATTATTATAGTTCTCAGCTATAGGAACTTCCTGCCAATGAGCAAATCAAATACTTACTCCTAAATTCTAATCACTCCCATTTCCACATCTCTGGTTTCTAGGAGACAGCTTTTGTACCACGAGACAATTTTATTTAACTAAATGCTTATTACTTATACATTATTGACTTGATTTGTTCCAGTTGTACACAAGGGTTTGGTTTGGAAAATAACATGCAATATTCTTAAGGTTTACTCTTCCCTCCTCCACCCTCCACCCATGTTCCTCTAATGCCACGTTACAAATTTGGCTTCCCCTTCCCCCACCCCCCAAGCTTTGTTTTCCTAATCCCTAAAATCTGCAAGAATCCACGTAGGAGCTGAATTAGCTTTATCTCTCCACTTAACAAAATGCTCTTTTTCCAGGCAATACTGTTTTCAGCATTCAGCACCTATGCCAGATGATGAACCGTTTTAACAAATAAGGAGGTTTTTTTTTTTTAGCATAAGTCTGGCCTCGGGAAAGATTAATCCTGGGAAGACGCCAGTGAATGTGTAGGCAGCTTCTCATTAAGAGCCGACATGGTTACTGTAAATGTTTGAGAGAAAAAGAATCTGTTCAGATTTTTTTTCTTGGAAAGCAAATTAAAATTTCAATCCAAAAATAATACGACAGTGAGATGTCTACCCAGGCATCTCTCCAAAACCAGCACAACTTCTTTTTCTTCTTCTTCTTCTTAACAAATGAATAATTGATTAAAGGCAGAATGATGGATCATCAAAGATTAAACAAGACCCAATATGGAAGGATGTCCTACTGTGCTGGTTTTGGGGGTGTTTTCCATCTCTACAAAAACCTTTCGGACACGCAGAATAAATTTAATGCCTGGAGAATCTTAGAGCAATAATCCAAAGTGGGTTTCATTCAGAGTCCCAAAGGTGCTTTTTCCAAAGGCAACTGGATTTTCTTTGTTTTTCCTTGAAGACATTTTGCTTCTCATCCAGGAAGCTTCTTCAAAATTGACGATGCTTTTTTGGATGAGAAGCGAAATGTCTTCAAGGGAAAAACAAAGAATATCCAGTTGCCTTTGGAAAAAGCACCATTGACAACCATGACAGTGATGGGATTCAAAAAAAATTTACTGTCAGTTCTGTGGGTGTGGCTTGGTGGGTGTGGCATGGCTTGGTGGGCGTGGCTTGGTAGGCACGGCAGGGGAAGGATACTGTAAAATCTCCATTCCCTCCCCACTCCAGGGGAAGGTTACTGCAAAATCCCCATTTCCTCCTGATCAGCTGGGACTCGGGAGGCAGAGAATAGATGGGGGCGAGGCCAGCCAGAGGTGGTATTTGCCGGTTATCCGAACGACACAAAATTTCCGCTACCGGTTCTCCAGAACTGGTCAGAACCTGCTGAATACCACACCTCTGAACCATGACCTGGATGACAGAGAATCTCCATAGACATTTCATTCAGAGCTGCGGAATTAGGTATAGGTAGTCTTCCACTTATGACTGGTTACTTAATGATCCATCAAAGTTACAACGAACACACCAAACTCTACTTATGACCTGGCTTTGAAGTTCCAATAGCTGTCTCCCTGCAGTCATGTGATAATATTTTGGGCACTCAATAACGAGCCCACAATTATGGCTGTTTGCAATGTCTGATGGTCATGTCACCATGATTGATGATGTTTCCCAGAAACCGACATTTACTTCCGGT